CTCCCTCCCTCCCTCCCTCCCTCCCCTCTCTCTAAAAATCAATGGAAAGAATGTCCTCAGGTGGGGGTAACAACAACAAAAAGAAATGAGTGAATGGCCGAGACTGGGGGCTGGCCCTGGAGTGGGCCCGGAGAGGCTCCTCCTGCCCTGCCCCGCCCCTGCCCGGGAGGGGGTGGAACTTCCGAGAGAGGGGCAGGGTGGGCGCAGGAGCCGGTGGCGTGCCAGCTGGGGCGGTGCAGGTGCCAGTATCCACACCCGCTGGGTGGCAGCCCCGGTGCCACCACCCACAGCAGCAGTGGCTTCCGTGCTAATTAACCTCAAGAAGCTACTTTGTGTCCAGACTCAATCTGCTGTCAGTCAGCTGTGGCTACAGACGCTGTTGACAAAATCCAATTTAGTTTCTGGAAATAGAAGACGCCTCCCTGCACCGTTACGGTTACCTCGAGTCGGCGGCAGGAGGCTGGCCGGCCGGGAGGGAGCGGACTGATGCGGGAGGGAAGGAAAACAACCATGATTCAGGGGACAGGAGTGGGGTGGCCCCTCGGGAGGAGCCTGCTCCGTCCGAGGCTGCAGGGAGCGGGTGGGAGCAAGTGATCTCCGCAGGGTGGCCTGGCCCCTGGGATGGCAGGCGGGGGGGCGTCTCGGGGGCGAATGCGGGGACACACAGGCGTCCTGTAGCTGCCCAGGAGCGGGTGCCTGCCGGGGTCTCAGGACAGAGCTGACACCTCACGGGCCGGCGCAGTGTTTGCAGACACATCCGCCCCACAATCCCCAGGGGGGCCCCGGGCTTCAGGCCTCACTCCTTGCCTGAGAAATGGGGCAATGAGCACCTTCACCCCAAGACCCTCTTGCCGTATCAGTATCACGGGACTTGCCCATCTCCTGCCCTGGCTCTGTTCCAGGTCTGAGTGACCTACATCTTCTGAAAGGATCATGTTGCTTTTTGGTAAAATCCAAGTAGAATCTACACAGGGTTTAAAAAAAAAAAAATCAAGCAACTGAAGAGCCCATAATGAACAGCCGGTGCTGCACCCCCCGGGGGCAGTGTTCTCCCAGGCGGTGCTTCCTGATGGGGCCAACGCTGGGTCCCCAGGGCCTTCCACAGGACAGCGTCTCCAGCATCTGGGTCCATGGGGTTACCTTTCTCACAGTCTGTCCATCGCTGCGCGTTGCACCCCCGTTTTGTCCGCATCGTTTATAAGCCGTGATGTGACGTGTGACCCCCTTGAATGTTTCCCTTTGTTTTCCAGGAGTTCTCAGTCGCCTTTGTTTTTCTCATGGGGTGGGGGGTGGGGGAGTGAACACCTTCTCTACCCTGAGGTCTTCCAGGTTCTCTCACACCTGCTCAGGTGCTTTTCCAAGCTGTTGATAGTCCCCTCCTGGGGTGGCCGGCAGCCCCATGTATCCTGGGCTCCTGGTGGAGCCCTTTTTATTCAGTGGTACAGGTCACCTGGGTCCCACGCAGGTGGGGCCCAGCCCTCCCCTGGCCTCACCTGCTCCTCCCACGGTGGGGCCACAGGTACCCAGTGATCCTGTCCATCGAGAACCACTGCAGTGTGGTCCAGCAGAAGAAGATGGCCCAGTATCTGACGGACATCCTCGGGGACAAGCTGGACCTGTCGTCTGTGAGCAGCGAAGACGCCACCATGCTGCCCTCTCCGCAGATGCTCAGGGGCAAGATCCTGGTGAAGGTGAGCCCTTGCCTGCCCGCCTGGGGCCGGCATCCTGCTGGGGCTCTAACTGGGGGCAGGGCTGGGGCAGGGCGAGGGCAGGGCAGGGGCTCTGTCCCATCTGAGGCAGATCTGAGGAGTCAGGGCCGCTCGGCCCCTAACCTGGCCTCAATCACTCAGTGGTGGCCACGCCATCTGGGGACCTCGGGTGCACACCCAGGAGTCTCCCTCCCATGCTGAGACCCAGGAGCAAGCCTGAGAAGGCCCTCCCTCTGTGTTGAACCAGCCCCCCAGCACTTCCTGCAGGACCCCTCTCATGGTCCCCTCCTCCCCCAGGGCAAGAAGCTCCCTGCCAGCATCAGCGAGGAGGCCGAGGAGGGCGAGGTGTCCGACGAGGACAGTGCAGACGAGATGGACGATGACTGCAAGCTCCTCAACGGGGATGTGAGTGGGGCCGGGGGGTCGGAAGGGAGGGAGGCGGCCAGAAAAGACGGACTCGGGCAGATGCCCGGGGTAGAGTGCTGGGCACCAGGCTGCTGGGCACATACTCAGCCTGAAGCCATTGGAGGCCCCTCCACAGAGGACCCAAACCTTGGGCTCCTAGATAGTGTGCTAACCCTCTGGCTGCACATGTGCTGGGGGCCTGATTCTGTTCCCATTTCTGAGCCAACTCTCGGGGCACTGTTTGCTCAATTTGCCCGGTCCTCTGGCTGTCCTCCCTGGGTCCCACACCACTGCCACCCACACCTGAGTTTGCCTGGGCTCTGACCCTGACACCTCCTTCCTAGCCTCTCTCCAGCCAACCCCAGCTCCCCTCTGGGTACCCAGTGGTCCTGCCCGGCCATCCCCAAGCCCAGCCCCAGCCCCAGCTCCAAGCCCGGCACCAACCCCAATGCTGAGAACTCGAGCAGGAAGAGCCGGCCTGGCCCTGCTGGGCGTCCAGGCGGTCACCTCCACAGGGTGCTGTCCCTCTTCATGGCAGCACTGGGGCTGGGGCTGCACCGAGGGGGGAGCTGAGGAGTCGGGAAGCTTGTGCAGTGAGGCTCGGAGCCGCTGTAATTAGCAGCTTCCCTCCTCTGGGCCTTGCTCTAGGCAGGGCAGGCAGGGAAAGGCATTATCTCTCCCCGAGGGGCCATCAGGTGGGAAGTAACTGTGCAGGAGCTTCCCGGCCTCGCAGGGTAATCGTTTTAGAAACACCGCAGGCAGTGGAATTCTTCCTGCTTCCGGCGTGACTCAGTTCTGTGAGGTCCACCTGGCACCCACTCCACCCGGGGCCCAGAGCACCCAGATGCCCAGGGCCAGGCCCTGCCCTGGAGGGGTCCAGGTCCATCAAGGCCACCCTGGGGGCTGCCTTGGACAAGGTGGGCATCTGGGGGCTACACTGACCAGCCCCCTGTCAAGGGCCAGCCAGGCAGCCTGCCTCCACCCTACCCAACTCCTTGGGACAGCTGGTGGGATCACAGATCCAGAGCCGCTGATGGAGCAGGTGCTGTGCTCCCTGAGCTCCTCTCCCGAGGCCCAGGGAGCCGGGCGTCCTGGGAGCTGTGGCTGGG